ATGCGGTAGCGGCCCATGGCAGCGGGTGGGCTCCCCTGGGTGGCAGAGGTTCTGTTACTGGTACCAAAGATTCCGCGGCCAGGCTTGGTCCTGCTGCCTCAGGACAAGTCCAGGGCTTAATAAAGCAGCACTGGGTGTGCCAGCCCACTCCAGGATTGGGCTCCACCCCAGATAAGCCAGAACCTGGGATTAGCCCAGAGGGTGGAGGAAAGGCGGTTGCTCCTCTCAGCAAAGAATGGGGCTTAGAAGAAGATAAGGGACTGAGCCTGGGTGCAGGAAGAGGGTAGAGGTGCAGGGAGATTCCAGCAGAGTTTCTTTCTAGGCTCTCACTTCCCTCACCTACATGCCCCTACCCCGGTTTTACTATCGAATAGTATTTTCTGAAGGGTCTTGGGTGCCAATCCCTTTTCTTTCTGCCAGTGACTGGTACCTCTTGGCGACTGTACCCACTTTCTTATACCCTGCCAGGTTTGCTTGCTGAATGGGCATTGGGATTGTCATTGTGGGCCAGAGAAGGCCATTCTTGAAGGACACTCCAGTGTTTAGGGATGATTTAGAGCAGTGATGGCGAACCTTTTGAGCTTGGCGTGTCAGCATTTTGAAAAACCCTAACTTAACTCTGGTGCCGTGTCACATATACAAATTTTTTGATATTTGCAACCATAGTAAAACAAAGACTTATATTTTTGATATTTATTTTATATATTTAAATACCATTTAATAAAGAAAAATCAACCAAAAAAATGAGTTCGCGTGTCACCTCTGACACGCGTGTCATAGGTTCGCCATTACTGATTTAGAGTATTTCCTGTAATAAGATTTGTGGTGCCCATTCACCTAATGTATTCCTTTTCTCCCTTTTGTTTTCTATCCACATCCCCATCCCAAGACAAACAACCAATGCCAATACATACTATTTCTGCTTCTCCACTCCTTTCTGTTAATAGGATTGTTTTATATGGTTTGTGTCCTTCCTTCCACCAAAATGGTCACACTATACATTTATTTTCTTGGAAGTTGCTTTCCGCAGTTAACAAACATGATGAGAATACCTTCAGACCAAAAGATGGAGATCTAACTACACTCTTTGCTAGCTTTGACATTACACTCTTGGGTACTCAGTATTAACTGTGATGAGTGCTTTAATGAACACCTTTGTATAAAACACTTATGCCCCTTTATATTTATGGGACAGATTCCCAGAATTGAGATTTCAGACTAAAATACATGTATGTCTTTTATATTAGATGTTATATATTTTTTTGAAAATCACTTTTTTGACGTATGCTTGACATGTAAAATTTGCATATATCCAATGTCTATGTCTGTAATTCAGTGAGTTTGCCAATAAGTATATCCCAATGTATATTATTGTCAAAGTGCTTCACAAAAAGGCTGTAGCATGGTACCAGAGGCCCTTTCCCCTTCATCTCCACCAGCAGAGGAAGTTACCACGTTTTAAGTTTTTGCCAATAGGATGGGTGTAATTTTGTAGAACAATGACTAGTTGCTGTTTGAGGGACGGTGGCAGAAGACACAAAGCTTCAAGGTCAGTAACAAAGGGGATTTATTACTCAGAGCAAAAGCAATAGCCACAGTTCATATTCACATCAGCCCCTCATGCCCTCCCAAGTCCCACGAGTGTGATGCAGGTGGGTCTGGGTGAGTGGCAGCACACGCAGTGGGCTGCATTATAGGAGAGAACCACTGGGTTGGGCGTTGGGGGCTCACTACTCTTGTGGTAAGCAAATCATATCCATGCTTTGTCTACAGAAACAGGACCTTGTTTGAATGATTGCTCACTGCAAAAACAGCCTTGACAAATAGCCCAAGTCAAGGCAGTCAAACTTTGCATTTCTGGCATACCCAGCAGGAAGCTAGGGGCACTCTTGCAACTCAAAGCAAAAAATCAGCCGATAGACGGCTCATATCTCGAAAAACTCGTTAGTCGGAACACTCGTAAGTCAAGGCCCCACTGTATAGAGGATAAAGGAACATCTTAAACCACCAGGAAATAACTAGGAAAAATCTGTTTGAGGAGGCAAACAGCCTTGTTTTATCACCGTAAACATGGCAAGAAATGAAAAGAGAGAGGAAATGAGACATACAGATGAAATACAAGTGACTTCAGAAATAATTGCAACACATGAGCCATATATAACATTGATCTTGGTGTTTGGAGTTGGCTGGGGACTATTGCTTTTCACACACAAAAAATACTTTGTGTCAGTAGAATATTTGAACATGGTGTTATGATTAATATAATCACACAGGAAAGTCCTACAACTATAAATAATGAATGATTTTTAAGGAGGTTGTGTTGATGTTATAGAGATAAGCGGGGCCCGAATGCAGCAAGAAGTATGAGAGGTCAAGGCAGGAATTCCCTTTGGGATGGAATAGGTTTGAGGATATTTAGATGGGAAAGAACTATTAGAGAGAGAACATTTAAGATGCAGGTTATGAAAGCCATAACTGAAGAAGGGACCACATGATGGGTGTGGGAGGATGAAATTCAAACCATATATGCAAGAATTCCTGTCGGATGGACAGGGCGACTCTCCCTTTCTAACAGAAGGTAGGGCATAGAAAATTCCATGGAAGGTTATTAAGGAGGTTCCCACCTCACAGTTTCTATGTTCATCCCACTCCTCTTCCTAAACCTGATGCTAGGTGTCCTCTACTTCTCAGGGACCCAGGTGTCACAGTCCCAGAGCTGAGCCAGATGGCAGCACCAGACCTTCTCAGATTTCTCTTTCCATCTTGGACAGGCAAGGTTAAATTCCAGATTAGAATGGAGCCCACCTAGCCTGCAGAGGGGGCAAACACTACCCGATTTGGGGGGAGGTGTCTCTGCTTATAGTTCCAAGATCCATTTACATTTATTTTCATCAGATCTACTCTTTTTTTATTGAATTTATTGGGGTTACATTGGTCAATAAAATTATATAGGTTTCAAGTGTACAATTCTGTAATACATCATCTGCACATTGCATCGTGCACTTGCGATCTAAATCTAGTCTCTTGCCATCACCATTTATCCCGTTCACTCTCTTCCAGCTGCCCACAACCCTCTTTCCTCTGGTAATCACCATACTGTTGTCCGTGTCCATGAAGTTTTTTTCTTACTCCTTTCACCAGTTCATTAGCTCTTGTTCTAATATCGTTTTCTCATTATTTTCTCAACCTAACTCATGACTTGCTGGTCTCTGCTCTGCCCTGATGATTCAAACTTCAAAGCTAGTCCTCCAAGAATGTTATTGTCATGCAGTCACACAACACAAGTTTCTAAAAGTTGGCATCATGAGTAAAGGATTATTTTTATCACCTAATACAGCCAGGGCAATGACACTCACTATATTGTTAAATGTTTAATGGCTATTCCTGAGAACAGGATTTGCTTCTGTTGTCTATTCCCATACTCCCCCTACCTCAAACACACACGCGTGTGCGCGCACATACACACACACTCCATGTGGATCAGGCCTCTCACACTCTCTTTTCTTTATTTCTAGTCACTCTCATAACTCTTCCCTTCTCCCATTTCTATTTCAAATATTATGAGAGCAAAAATTCTCCCCTTTTTGTTTTACAAATGAATTCAAATCATTTGATCATTTATTGTTTGAGCAGCATAAAATAAAGGCAGATAGTTCGGGTGACCATTAACAGGTTCAATTCTTT